TAAAAATAACGCGTTAATAGAGTACAAATATCCTGCGATCATTTGACGAAATTGAAGTCAAAATACGGCACAACTCGTGAAAATACTCAGCGATACTACACACCAAAACATCCAATCAGTGAGATATATTTATCAGGCATATTTATATGTAAAGCGAAATCGACCCAATGTTTTGAGACAACTGATGAGATCGTAGCTTCTATACTTTTTGGTGGAAAGTATTAATGGTCATTTTTGTCATCAACATAATATTCAGACGTCTTGAATTTTTGCTAACGTTTATTCCCTTAATGTACAATGATCATAGTTTTATACAGAGCTGACTTTAATTTGAGGCAATCTTCGTATTCTGAACTTTCATTAAGCGCTCATGGAAAATATTTGTATGAAATACTGAGATGATGGAAAATGCGTTTATTCAAATTTCCTCCATTGGTAGACAGGGAGATCCATTCATTATTTGTTATGTCAGAGGGAGTCTACCAGCTGTTGAAATTCAGCTGAAATATGATGAACCTGTGCTGTTCTCCGCTAGCTAATCATTAGGGTACATTTGATCGCTTACATTGGAATGAATTTTTTAGTATAATGACTAATAGTTAACGTTACATAAGGAATAGGATGTTTTTCACAAACAGTTGTCGCAGGTAGGAAAAAAAATTGACACATTGGTCCTTACTTTATGACAGACTATAGGAGGAGTTTGTCATGTTCACTCACTTATTTCGAAATGCCATTTTTAGTCGCCATCTAAAGGAAACAATAGAATGGATCAGAGGGCACTTGAAGTAAGCTCATTCATGTTATGGCTTAAGTTATTAAGTGGCCATTTTTGTCTTGAACATAACATTCAGACATCTTGAATTTTTGCTAACGTTTATTCATAACTGCTTCCCTAATCTACAATGATCAGGGCCTTATGTTATGACATATCTTATCTTAGTACAGACTATAGAGGGAGTTTGTCATGTTCACTCACTTAGTTCGAAATGTCATTTTTAGTCGCCATCATTCACATATCGAAAAAGGAAAAAATAGAATGTTATGTCATTCATGTTATGGCTTAAGTTTGTGTTGATTTCTTGGACCTACTAAATATAGGTACAGTTGAATTCGGTTTATGTGAACTTTCAATACAGAAAAATATTAGTTACCCTCATCTTTCACGATCATTTCCACTATTATGAAATGTTCCGTGATATCTTTTGTTTTAAGTAAAGCTGCCGTTGTGTCTGGTTTTTAACAAAGAGACCACAATCGTTCTTACTGGAATTTCAAGCCTTCATATGGTCTGATTTTCACATATTAATATTTGCGTAGTCACTAATCAGATGAGAGATTAACCACCAGAAAAGTAAACAAATGGCCAGTCACGAAAGCAAAGCTTTGCTTTTGGGCCCATCCGCATTAGCAGACAAACCTAGAATTCTTCCTAAAGAATTAAAGGACAAATTTTGTGATGACGAATTTTGTTTTCTCTGTTGCATCTACACTAAAAAGTATCGAATTTTTCAAAAAGCTATTAAATTCGGTTAACCTCTGGATCTTGGGCGGCCATATCTACAACTTCATTGTTAGTCTGATGGAGCGGCAACTAGAAAATTACTCCACTTTTGTAGGTTGCCCCGGCTGAATGAAAATTGTTTCCTTGTTGATCTTCATAGGGTGGCACTTTCGAGTGCCTGATCTGCTCATACGACAGGTCGCTATAATTTGCCCATGTATCAAAACTTCAATTGCTGGGATTCATCTTAAGTTAAAGTTGTAAAATCTGCGAGTTTCGCACCGAAGGACAATTACTGCAATCTTTTGGTAAACTGAGCCCAGTTCAATTACCACACTAATGGTAGCGTTTACGACAAATGATAGACAAGTTCATCACGGTTTTAAGCAATTACAATTTGAAATTTGTTATCAGCTAAATACTTGTTATCAGGTCAAATTAAAAAAGTTCAATTTTTACGATTAAAGTTCTATTTTTGGACCCGCGACATTTTACTCGCGACCCGCGACAATTTACCTGCAACCCGCGACACGCGACAATTAGACACTCTCGACAATATGAAGGCTTGAAATTATATTAACGTCTGTAATCAAGAAACGGCCAAGGAATATTCCACAATAGTGCAAATAATCGTGAAAGATGATCTCTGAAAAGGGATTGCGTGACGCTCGGTAAATGATAAGATGACATGTTATCCCGTATCAGACGAAAAAACAGTATAAATTCTCAGTCTGCATTTTGTACCCGGTCTGCCGTCTGCAGTCTGCATTTTGTACTGACCGGATTGGTATTGCTGTTTTTGTTCGAACGAGCCTCAAGTCTGGACCGAAAATATTGGAGCTCGAAAAAAAAAATTTAGACTATCTTAACCGCTATGATTGATGTGTGGACTGTATGTTGAAGAGCTCCCGAGCAAAAGCACAGTGAAAGAGCAATGATTACTTTATACCAACCGAAGACGAACGCAAATGCGCGGCTTATGCTCTTCCTCGTGGTCCCAGCTGTAGTGTATTAGGACCCAGACTCTCCCTAAGTGGTGTATGTAACGCCTGACTGTAGTTGTTAAGGACCGTAACGAGTCGTGTAGCAGAATAAAGCTATCGTTTAAAGTTCAATCTGTTGTAATCCTTCGTTGTTTGCCGACTAGATCGGTCACAAGAACAGCGTGGTGTTGAAATGAACCCGCTACGAGCTTCATCGAAATTAATTTTGACTTATAGCAAGTGGGGAGGGGTAGCATGCGAGACTACTTCCGTTCACGGTTCACAATACAACTTCCGTCTATGGAATCAACTTCCGTCCACGGTTTAAAACTTCCATCAACATGGCTTCACCACAATACTTCATTCATTGCTTCCAGCATGAATGAGCTAAAAATGAGATAAGCTAGTGGCCTATTTATAAGAAACAAATGGGCTGTTCTTGCTATCGATGAACTATTTGAAAAATGTACAGAAATGATTCTTTTAACTCCCATTGTCATCTCGTTAATACGGTCGCCAAACGGAAGCATGCATATGACGGATAAAAACTGGACTGGTCAACTTTTTGCTTCCAGGAAAAATAAAAACATGTTCACCGCTGTCACCATTTCAGACAACACGACTCCCATAATGAGAAAAACTCTCAGTCACTTCTACTTCGGCTGGATATCTCTCCGTTGACAGGTAGATTTTTGCCTAATGAAGTTACATTTTCCATGAGCCGAGTAACTTACCAAGATATCTTTTCCTTTAGATGTAGTCCATCTGGGCGGAGAAAATAAAATTAAAAAAAAAAAGCCGTATTCACCTATCTTAAACATATGCTACATATCAGCTGTGTACTTTGTCATTAATCGAAAGCGGTTAATATGATGCCAAATGGAACAGTGAATAAGAATTAGAAGAAAAATGATCATTATCAAGAACAACACTGATAATGATAATGACAAAAATACAAATTATTGTGATGACAAAAGTAATGATATTATCTGAATCGAAAGGAAACGAAGAAGGATGTCGTTGCTGTAAAATGTTACGAAGGATTCAAGAGAAAGTATTGTTTCAGATCTGTAAATGTTAAACTACAACAAATTTTAATTTTTTCAAATTACTCTTGATGTGATTGTTCGTTATTTTCGTTCATTATAAGAGTACATGGTTTCCTTCGGTAGGCTGCCTTACTTATTGAGGTTCACAACCCCAAAAGTAGTTTCACCCTAACATGAAGAGTCAACTCGCCCGATACATCGATACAAAGTTCGAGCCAAACAATCCCTTTTTTATGATAAGTACTGTAGAAGTAAACTTCGCTATCTCATCGCAGGAAGTCATTATAACACGAAAACTTCTTTCTTTTTTTTAAAGTACGTTGCATTTCCTTGCCAACGCAAAAGTAAGGTCTCAAAATTTTTTAGTAAATTTACGAACAACTTCGTTGTTTTTCACTTTAGATTTTGTTTGTCACTGTTGGTGATTTCGAGAAAGTAGCAAGACAAAAGATTTCATTTAGTTACTGAGAAGTTAAGAGACAAAATTAAAACCACATGTATATTGTAAAATTTTTTTTTTAAGAATCATGTATTTGGGTTGAAACGAGTGTATGAGAATAAGTGAAAGAAAACAATGAAGTCTTATACCTTTTAGCGGAAGTTTTGTGCAAAATCGTCAAATTTGTAACTCACTTTTTCATTTTCCTCTGTGTAACTGCCTGAGTTTATAAATTTAGGTACAATACGTTAATGATAACCTACTTCGACTTATGGCCTCAGTTTACTACGTTCCTCTTGAAAATAACTTATTTAATTTTGAGTAAACAATCCTTTTCCAGGCCACTTCAAACATATAAACAACAAATTTGTCAACGTGTCATGATGATGAGTAATTTTTGGCTTCGAGAAGCGTCAATGTGTTTAGTACTATTAGCTCTTACCGGCGCTTTATGGAATCTTCCATTCGTCAAAGGTGAAACATGCAATACACATCTCAATAGTAAGTACTGTTAACTTCTTCTAAATGTCCTGGTTAAAGAGCATGTTTATGCGAATGTTTTTCTTGCATGCACATTAAAAGAATGCATGTATGTGGAGAAACTGTGAAATGGCTAACAAACAAACAGCTCTCAGTCAGAGGATTCAGAGAATGTAGGTATCTTCATCAAAATGTTTAGCATGTGTAGATAAGAAAGGA